CCCCCCAGCTCAGTGGGGCTGCAGGCTCTTCACGTGGTTCCGGCACGTCCTTGAGCCTGCTCTGCCCTGCATTCAGCTGCCAGGTGAGGAGGGAGAGGTGCGTGTGGGCCCACATGCGCTTTGTGTTCTGGGCAGGCCAGGAGGGGCTTCGTGGCAGTGGTCCCGTGGCAGGTGTCCCATGGCAGTGGCCCCCTTGGCAGTGGTCAGGACCCAGTCTCGTGCCACACCTGTCTGCGGGATGCTGGGAAGTGTGGTCTGGATGCCCTGGGGAAGGAGGGAATGGAGTTTGGTCAACACTCGCCAACTTCACCTCAATACTTAATCCCGAAGGTTGTCGGAGGTTGAGGTAACACATAGAAACTCGCAGAGGCTCCAGATCAACAGGTATTAGCTCTGGGGTCCCATTGGCCCTGCTCCTAACTGGGCTGAGGCCTCTCTTCCTCTCAGCTCACCGTGGGTGGAGCAAAGGCCACGGGGGCGACTCCTGTCTTTATACTGTCTGCAGAGAGGGATCTAAGAGGAGAAGCTTTAGAGCTGGCCACGCCCTTGGTCCCATTTACCATAATCCAGGGTCGTTTTAGAAATATATCATGTGATTGAGGGGTGTGGGTGGGAGAAGAGGCCACCATAAGTTCACTTTATTATTAAATGATGCCGAATGTGTGTGACCTTAAACTCAGAGAAACTGGGATTCACCAGACTGACTCACCCAGGTCGGTTCCCCAAGCTGCCAGAGCGGTTCCCCAAGTGCCAATCAGGTCATGCCAGCATCTGCTCAACATCTGCCCATCCCTCCATGAACTTCAGAACAAAAGCCAAAGGCCTTATGCAGGGTCGGCATCCCCCATCCCTCCCTCTCGGGTCAGCCCTGCCTCCCTCTCCAGCCTTACTCAATGGTTCTCCTCTCCTTCTCCGTCCGTCCATCCATCCATCCGTCTGTCCGTCCATCTGTCCATCCGTCCGTCCATCCATCCGTCCGTCCGTCCATAAATCCGTCCATCCATCGCCAGCTATTTCTCTACTCCCAGTTGTAGTGACTGGGGACACCACAGTGAACAGGGCACTGCCCGTGGCGGGGATGGCATCCTAGCCCGTCCCTGGCCGCAGGTGCCTGCCTCCGAGGCTTGCTGTCCTCTGTGCTCCCCGCCAGCCCGGCCCACGGAGACCCGGGTACAGCCCTGCCCGGGCTGCTCCTTCGTGGCACCCTGTGCGTTCTCTACAGCACCCGGCCACCTGAAACGCCCTTTGGCTCATTGGTGCACATTTGTCTGCCTTCCTTGCCCGCAGTCCGACTCCCACGAAGACAAGGACCTTGTTTATCTGTCCCCATAGTACCCGCAGCACCTGTCTGCCCGGCACAAAGCGCAAGTGCAGTGAGTACGTGTTGGATGAATGACTTGCAGAAAGAAAGAACCGACAGGCGATGGCCCTGTGGCCCGGGGGACAGTGTGAGCTCCATCTGCCTCCCGGTAGCCTGTGCTCATCCCCCTCTGGTTTTGGTTTTCTAGGGAATGACACCCCTCCACTGGGCAGCTTTCCACAACCAGCCTCAGCACACCCAGATCCTGCTGAAGAAAGGGGCAGACCCCACCCTTGTGGACAAAGACTTTCAGACGGCCCTCCACTGGGCAGTGCAGGTAGGCCGGCCAGCGGCGCTCGCGGTGTCAGCCCTGGGAGAGGGGCGGCCGGGCACGGCCCTGACGCGGGTGTGGGGTTCCTGCTTCACAAAGGAAGACTCACGGTGTCCTCCCCCTCCATTCGCATCCCAGAGCGAAGAGCAAACCTGCCGCTTTGGAGGCTTTGGGGGCATCAGCTGTTGAGAAGAAACCCTGCCAAGGTGCAGAGGGGGCGTTATAGCCTATCAGGGAGAGCCTGCCTTGGCTGTCACACTCACACACACTCACACACACTCACACACAGTCACAGTCACACACACACACATACACACACACAGTCACAGTCACACACACACACTCACACACACTCACACACACACTCACATACACACACACAGTCACAGTCACACACACACACTCACACACACTCACACACACACTCACATACACACACACAGTCACAGTCACACATACACACTCACACACACTCAAACACACACATACGCACACACACACAGTCACATACACACACTCACATACACACACACAGTCACATACACACACTCACACACACACTCACATACACACACACACAGTCACAGTCACACACACACTCACATACGCACACACACNGTCACAGTCACACACACTCACACACACTCAAACACACACACACACTCACACACACTCAAACACACACTCACACACACACATACACACACACACAGTCACAGTCACACACACACTCACACACACTCAAACACACACTCACATACGCACACACACAGTCACAGTCACATACACACACTCACATACACACACACACAGTCACAGTCACACACACACACTCACATACACACACACACAGTCACAGTCACAGTCACAGTCACACACACACTCACACTCAAACACACACTCACATACACACACACACAGTCACACACACTCACAGTCACATACACACTCACACACACACACATACACTCACACACAAAAACACACAGATACAGTAACACACACAGTCACTCACAAACACACACATTTAGTCATACATACATACACACACACAAATACACACCGTCACACACACACACATTTCTATCTGCCCCCTCACGGCTCACAGTGCACCAGGATAAACCTCCTGAGATTTACTGAGAAAGCCCCTTCGAAGTCTAGACCACGACTCTTCTTCCTTCCCAACCCTCCAAAGCCGAGCGATCCCGGTGACCCTGACTCCACGCTGAACAATAGGGCCCATGCCCCCCCACCCCACCCC